GGAGGAGGAGGAGGAGGAGGAGGAGAAGAAAAAACGGTGGGGTCCTTGGTGCTCTCGGAGCTTGATGGTTTTCTTGCAGACGTTGCATGACCCAACTAGGGAACATCATCAGTGCAAGAAGAGAGAGGGGTTTGCAGAGGGGGTGGGAGGAGGAGGAGAAGGAGGAGGAGGAGGAAGAGGAGGAGGAGGAGGAGGAGGAGAAGGAAGAGGAAGAGGAAGATGAGGAGGACTGATGGTCCTGGTTGCTCTCTGAGCTTGGATGCTTTTTGCAGACATTTCATGACCCTGCTAGGGAACATCATCACTGCTAGAAGGGAGAGGGTTTCCTGGTTGGGTCATGAAACGTCTGCAAGAAAACCACCCAGCTCAGAGGCCACCAAGGACTCCGCATTGCTCCTGGCGTCGTCAGGTTCTCCTGGAGTAGCTCCAATCCCTGTTTTTGTGTGTGTCAGCTGCCCCAGATAACAGATCATCAGAGTTGGAAGGGACCTCGTAGGTCATCTAGTCCAACCCCCTGCCCAAGCAGGAGACCCTACACCATTTCTGACAAATGGCAGTCCAATCTCTTCTTGAGAGTATCATTAAGGGGGGCTCCAGGGCTGACAAGATTCATTGTCCTAAAGTCACTCAGTTAGCTTGCAGGTCTAAAGCAGGACTAGAACTCTCTGTCTCCTGGTGATTGGCCGAAAGTCACCCAGCTGGCTTTCCTGCCTAAGGCGGGACTAGAATTCCCCATCTCCTGGTGATTGACGCTTAGTCACCCAGTCAGATTTCGTGTCTTAAGGTGGGACTAGAACTCCCCTTCTCCTGGTGATTGGCCCAAAGTCTCCCAGCTGGCTTTCATGCCTAAGGCGGGACTAGAACTCACCGTCTCCTGGTGATTGGCCCAAAGTGACCCAGCTGCCTTTCATGCCTAAGGCAGGAAAGTTCCCCCCCCCACTAAGCCTGCTTTTGGATGCTCTCGTGGTGCCCCATGGTGCTCTGCCTTCTTTCCTCTCTCTGCTAGGCCATCTCGGTCTTCTGCCTGCTGGGACTGTGGGTGCCCCGGGCCATGACGTACGTGGACATGGCCATTGGCGCGTGAGTATCTCCCTCCAGGCGGGTGGCCCTCTGGAGCCGAGCAGAAATGGACACGCAGGGGTGGGGCTGGGTTGGCCCCCACCGGTGGGCCCTT